CCCGCCTCTCAAAGGGGCCCTCGAGGTGGGGAGGGGGCGGGGCTGGCGGCCAAGCCCCGCCTCTCAAAGGGGGGCCCTCGAGGTGGGGAGGGGGCGGGGCTGGCGGCCAAGCCCCGCCTCTTAAAGGGGCCTGCGGGGTTAGGAGAAGGACAGGGCCAGGAGATTGGGGGCGGGAGAGAGGGAGGGGTGAGTCTCTTTGGTTCCGAAACAGAAGACTCCTGAGGGAAGTGAACTAGGGGTGCTCACCCTGACTGCTGCTAGTGGGCAACAGAAGAACACAAGTCTGCAGTTCAAATCTATCCTTCACCTATCACCTATACCCGAGCTTCCTGTGCCCTGCTGGCTTTCTGAACCCAAAGGTGATGGACAGGCTCCATCTCATGACCAGGTCTCTCTCTCTCTCTCTCTCTCTCTCTCTCTCCTCTCCCCCTCCCCTGCCCTAAGATCAGACCTCATAGTGCAAGATTTCCCCACTTGTCCCTTCTTTTCCTCCCCCAGGACAATGGAGAGGGCTCCTTGGGTCCCAGTGAACACGATGGCCCTCCAAGTCTAGGCTTGTGCCGCCTCTGGGAACTGGAGCTTTGCCTTTCCTCTCCAGAGCCTGCCATCCTCCTAGTCTGCCATCTTTTACCATGCCCAGCTTGCAGCCATCTTGCAGTCTGGCAGCTTCCCCACCCCTCCCCCCTTCCACACCTGATGGACTAACACGGTGCCAGGCTGAGGGTCAGGAAGCACCCACCAGGGGCTGTCCACCCCAGCACAGCCTTGCCCTGCCCCTGGTCTCTGGGAGTCACTCCTGAGGTGCTCACAGCTCAGCCCCCCTGCAGCATACCCCCCTCCCCTGGAAATTAGAAGACATCCCATTAGCCAGCCAATTCCTTTTTCTGAATTCTAGCTTCTTCCCTGAGCATGAGTGTGGGACTTCAAGGCAACAGGAGGTTAAAGGGAGTTTCTGTGGTTAGGTCTCTAATCTTACCTACTCAGGAGGCTGAGATCTGAAGATCTCGGTTCAAAGCCAGCCCAGGCAGGAAAGTCCGTGATACTCATCTCCAATATACCACTAGAAAACCGGATGTGGTGCTTTGGCAATAGAGCACTCACCTAGAGCTGAAGAGTGCAGGGACAGCGCCCAAGCCCAGAGTTCAAGCCCCTTAACCAACAACAACAACAAAAAGCCAACCTAGGCAGGAAAATCGGCGAAACTCTTTATCTCCAATTAACTGGCAGTAAAGCAGAAGTAGAGCTTTGGCTCAAAGCACAAAAGCTCAGTACTGCACCCAGTTCAAGACAGCCCAGAGTTCAAGACTCCCGACCAAAACCAAAACCAAACAAAAACACAAACACACAAAAACCAGAAGTGGAATTGTGTGGCTCAAGTGGTAGAATGCTAGCCTGGAGCAGAAAAAGCTAAGTAAGAGCACAAAGTCCTGAGTTCAAACCCTAGTAACTGCACAAAAAGGGGAGGAGCTAATTTACATAATACCACTTGCTGAGTGCCTACCCTAGCCCGTCTTGTGCTGTTTGCCCTTTGCTGCTTGCCTAGGCAGGTCTCAGCCTCAGGGTAGACACGGAGGAAGCCAGTCAGCCCAAAGGCCCAATGAAAGCAGGCCTGCTATCAGTCCATCTGTTTCCCAGTGCTGGCTTAGGGCTGGGAGCTGTGGGTTCCTGGATGGTGGCCATGTCTGTCATGCAGGATGGGCCGGTCTCTCAGAACTGCAGCTCAGCAGCTTTTCATGAAGCCCGTGCCCATCTGACCATCCAGACACACCCCAGGCATGGCCTCTGCCCTATACACTGAATTCACATCTTCCTTTCAGAGCTCTGCAGCCTTCGCCTACCTCCAAGATATCACTTCGTCCATGACTGTGTGCCCAGCCGTAGACACTGCTCAGAGATCTGCAAATTAATTAGATACCATCTTGCTCTCTCAAAGATAAGAAATGGGCACTGAGAGAGAGAGAGAGAGAGAGTCCTGAGGAAAGACAGCATATCCAGAAGCTTAGAAAAGGTAGAATTTTGCAGTCAAATAGAAGAATCCTGGGAGGTTTCATGGAGGGAATGGTATTTGACCTGGACCATAAAAAGTGGGGTAGGTCGGGTGTGGTAGAGCATGCCTGTAATCCTAGCCACTCAGGAGGCTGAGGTAAGAGAATCTCAAGTTGGAGATTAGGTTAGGCTATATACCAAGACCCTGTCTCAACATAACAATTGTACAGGAAGGATTTGGAAGAGGAGCTTAGTTGTTTTGTGTCAGCTCAGTGACATAAGCTATTTTGGTGACTGGTGGGGACTGTGGCTATAGTCAGAGAGCTGGAGAGAACTGGCCCCTGAAGTTACTTTGCATCTTCCCTGTCAGACTTGTGGGGTCCCTGGGTGCAGAGTTTCACCCCACAAGCCTTACACCCATAGCCCAGCATCCTGAACATAGGGATGGCTCATAAATGCAGGCCAACTACATGAATGCAAGAAATGCTCCTATACAGGCTGGGCTTGGTGACACACACCTATACGCCTAGCGCTCAGGAGGTGGAACCAAGAGAATTGCAAGTTCAAGGCCAACTACAGAGCAAGATCATGCTCCCCAACAAAAAGAAGGAAAAGATGGGGAAGGAGAGAGGAAAGCAGATGCGGAGGGTACCCTACGAGGGCAGCTGACCTCAGTTATCACATGGGGAAACTGAGGCCCAAAGACAGTGTGGCTTGTCAGAGCCTGGCACCAATGAAGACTTAGGCCCACCTTCTAGAGCCTGCTCCAGCATCCTCAAAACTCAAGCCTCCCAGAAGTTAGAAAGCAGACAGCCCACAGTGGCTCACCTTTGAAATTCTAGCTACTCGGGAGGCTGAGATCTGGGGGAACCTCTGTGTTTGTCACCAGCCCAGGCAGAAAAGTCTTCAAGATTCCATTTCCAAAAGAACCAACCATAAAAGCACAGTTGGAGGTGTGCCTGAAGTGGTAGCATGCCCACCAAGCAAGTCACAAGCTTTGACTTCAAACCCAGTACACACACACACACACACACACACACACACACACACACGCACACACACAAGAAAGAAAAGAAAGTAGCATCCTCTCATCTCTCTTTTTACCCAGCAGCAGATGAAGGTAGCAGGTAGCAGCAGGCCCTTTAAACCCTGTTTGAAAAGGGAAAGAGTCAGTTGTTCATGCCTGTAATATATGAGAGCAAGAAAGCTCCCATACAGGCTGAGTGTGGTGACACATCTGTAAGCCCAGCACTCATGAGGCTGAAGCAGGAGAATTGCAAATTTGATGCTAACTTGCACTACAGAGCAAGATCATATTCCCCCTCAAAAAAAAGAGAGAGAGAGAACTCCTAGCCAGGCATCGGTGGCTCACATGAGGCCTGTAATCCTAGCTACTCAGGAGGCTGAGATCTGAGGATCACAGCTCAAAGCCAGCCCTGGCAGGAAAGGCCGTGAGACTCCTATCTCCAATAAATCACTAGAAATCCAGAAGTGGTACTGTGGCTCAAGTGGTAGAGCACTTGCCTTGAGCTGCAGAGCTGAGGGACAGCGCCCAGGCCCAGAGTTCAAGTGCCATGATCGATCAAAAAACAAACAAACAAAAGAACTGCTAAGAAATTCTAGCTACTTAGGAGCTCTGAGGATAGAAGTTCAAAGCCAGGCCAGGGAAGAAAAGTCCATGAGACTCTTAACTATCTCCAATTAACCAGCAAAAAGCTAGAAGTGGAAGTGTAGCTCAAGTGATAGAGCTCCAGCCTTGAGAGAAAAAAAAGGGTGAGAGCATAAAGCCTTGAGTTCAAGTCCCAGGGCTGGCATACACTGGTCATTCACTCCTGTAATCCTAGTTACTCAGGAGTCTGAGATCTGAGGATCAATTCAAAGCCAGATAGGTCAGGAAAGAGCCTGTGAGACTCTTACAGTGTAATGAATATTTATTTATTTATTTATTTTTGCATGTCTTTTTAAAAAGTGTCACTTGGAAGGGCTTTGCTCTTCCCTGCTGTAGTTCCTGCCTTCGAGATCTACGGCAGGGTATGGTTCCCAGGCGGTCCCAGCAGCCCTACCCACATTAAAGCTCATTGGCCCTGGCTTGGGATAGGTAGGGTAGGGATGCCTTTCTTACTAGAAGCATGACTGAGATCTTTGTTTAAGATGCCCCCAAAGGGGGCTGGGAAGTTGGCTCAGTGGTAGAGCGCTTGCCTTGCATGCCTGAGGCCCTGGGTTCGATTCCTCAGCACCACATAAACAAAAAGAAAAAAGTCAGAAGTGGTGCTGTGGCTCAAGTGGTAGAGCGCTAGCCTTGAGCTGAAGAGCTGAGGGACAGCGCCCAGGCCCAGAGTTCAGACTCACGACCGTACCCAAAAAAATGGCTGGAGACATGACTCAAATGGTAGAACACTTATCTTAGGAAGGGTGAAGCCTGAATTCAAATCCTGGTTCCATCAAAACCAACTGCACAAAACAACAACAAAGACCAAATTACAAGCGAAAAGTCTCAGGAGTGCGCCTCAAGTAATCAAGTGCTTGCCTAAGTTAGAGTGTAGCCAAGTTCAAACCCCAGTACGGAAATAAATAAATACACAAACAAATAAACACCTAGAGCACTTCCTTTGTCCTTTACTGGATCAAACCTATTTGAAGGAAAGCAGAGGAGCCTTGTATGTGGGCGAAGACCCTTATAACTTTACCAGGTACTCTGTCACACAAATTCTGGAAGATTCTTTCTGTGCAAGACAGGTGATTTACAGAGCAATCTGAAGGAGAGGACTAGCTCTGAGCCAGAACCTGTGATGGAGATTTGAACTG